AAATTATATCCAGTCGCCACGCATAGTATAATTTAGGCCAGTAGCACCTGTCAGTTCTGGAACTAATATTATTAAATCATCTTGACCACCTCTAGTATTTTTTTCGGTAGGCTTCGATATCAACAGTGGTTGATTAAAATCACGAATTGTGAGATTATAACGCTATAATTAAGAAAACAATAGTTAGATGTATGTTATTGTCAAGCTTTATAAATAAAGTGATAATCTAATCTAATATATAAAAATCTCATGTCACGGTGTTTTCATGAAACTTTTTTGACGTTAAATTACAACTTATATTCACAAAATATTGGTCTCGCCCGTGCGACTAGTGGAGTAACATTAGTATGACTTTCTCAGGATTACGTTCCTAGATTAGGTTCTATACATAAGAAAGAACAAATCATGCAACAAATAATGTCTCTACGAACAGAATAGTATTAAAATTTAACAATTCAAAATAAAATTATTATTAAGTAATTAATTCAATTCTTCTACAGCTGGTTTATGATTTCGTTCTAATATAAACACAGCAAGTAAAATTGTTAATAAAAACTTTCACAGCAAAAGTAACAAAACTCCAGAAAAATGTACGAATAAAAATGTCAAGTACGGCTTTGGGTCAGTTGGTTAAGGTGCACTGACTCTGAGCTTCACATTTGGCAGGAACCGAGTTCGATTCCTGGTACTTGCAGTCTCAAAAATAATTATTTACGAATAATTAAATACAAGAATTATTTGCAAGACCCCTGATGATGGGTACCTCCGTCATCAGTTATACAATAAATAAACGATATGAATTCCAGTATAGTTAAAGCTTATTGAGGGGCAGAGATAAGCGCCCCAGCCACAAAAGAGTCACAAAAGAGTAAAAGAGCGTAATAGCTTTAACTAAAGAAACCACAACAAAAATAACATATTGTTACGAATTTCATCAGAGTAGCAATGAAATGTTTAAATATTATTTAAACATTACGTCAATTGATATTTTTTTAAAAGGAGTTTGGAAATTTGTTTGGTGTGAAGCTGTGGTTTTTATTAAATTGACTCCTAATTAATACTAGTTCTTTGTAATACACAAAATATATAAATATAGTTTCTCCAATTCTCTAAAGTTCGTTTCATGTTTTACAAAATCCTGAGATACGAATAATCACGCAGGCGATTACGTAACATTTGGTGTCAGAAGTGGGATTTTGTAAAATGATGAAATTGGAAGAATTGACTGTGGTTCAACTAAAAGAGCAGTTGGAGAAAGTGGGACTTGGCACAGGTGGTGCGAAAGCGGAACTGCAGTTGAGACTTCGTGACGAGTTGGAGGCTGATGGCATACATGAAGAAGAACACGAGTTCCTCGATGAAGAATCTGACACGAATAGTGAAATGATGGCAATCATGAACTTAATGATGCAGAAGATTGAGAAAAATTCTGAAGAACAGGCGCACGGTTTACGTAAGTTGGAAGAAAAGCTGGAACAACAATTTAGTGAAATCACGCAGACATTAGGACAAAATTTTGTCGAATTAAAGATGGAGTTACAACAAGTCCAAAAAAGGTGCTCGAGAAGGAAGGACCCGATTGATCAGAATGTCCAGGTCTCAAAAGGTGAGACGGTTCAATTGGAAAACCACGCTGAGAGTAGGCAGGTAAGCGGGTCATCTTCAGCCATTCGTCAAACTGGTAGCGTTAAACTGCAGGCACCGACGTTTGATGGGAGCGAGGCTTTTGAAGTGTTCAAACTCAAATTTGAAATAGCGGCTGCAACAAATAATTGGAATATTGGTGAGAAAACGGAATCACTGATTGTGGCACTAAAAGGTAGTGCGGCAGAAGTTTTAAAACAAATTCCACCCGAACAACATAAAAGCTACCAAGCTGTAATGGATACATTGGAGCGCAAGTACGGTAACGTTTCTATGGCTCCATTACACAGGGTAATACTGGAAGCAAGAGCCCCGCTTGTTGACGAGAGTCCTGGAGAGTACTCTGCCGACATTGAACGGTTGTGTAACTTGGTTTACATTGGTAGCTCTGGTGATATTATGGTGAAGAGTAAAGTCGACACTTTAATAGACGGTATACGTGATCCGGAAACTAAGCGTCAGGTCGTAATGTTCTCAAAGGAGACGTACTCTGAAACGGTTAGCGGCGCTTTGACGTACGAAGCTGCCGGTATAATGTGTTCCTTTACAGCAAAAGTACGGAAAATGAAAACTAGAGTGAAGGCAGGAAGAAAGACAAGAAGGAAGACAGAAGGAAAGACAGAGGGGAAGGCAAGAAGAAAGACAAGAAAGAAGACAAGAAAGAAGACAAGAAAGAAGGTAAAAAGAAATAGAAGAAAGAGAAGAAAGGAAAGAAGAATAAGAGAGAAGACAAGAGAGAAGATAAGAGAAAGAAGAAGACTGATTCAAATAATGAATAGGGAAAAAAGAAACAGAAGAAAGAAAAGGAGGAAAGACTATTTCGGTTTAGGTAGTTATGATTTCGTGTTAATCGGCTTTGGTATAGCTGAATCAGTTGAAATTAACATCTGCTTGGACGAGCAAGAGTCCCCATATGTTATATATGTTGAGGGTATTCCATTTGAAGTAGATTTCACATGCGATGTTGTTATTCCATGTGAAGCAATTGGCACAAATGACATATTCCCGGCAAATATGCCACTTAAGACAGATAACATGTTAGCTGTTGATATTCCATCCAATGCGGATGTCTTTGATAGCATGTTGGCTACAGATACTCAAATCGATGCTGGCAGTGCAGTTGATAAAGTTTTCAGGATTAATCAGGAAATCAAATATGATGCGGAGATCGCAGAGGGCTTGTTGGTCGCAGATACGTTATCTTATAAAGATATACCATTAAACGTTGATGCCGACCTCATAGATGATGAGAACGTGACAATTAATGGAAATATCTTGTTTCATAAGGATATCACAGATGACGTATTAGCTACGGATAGTAAATTTGATGCTGATGTCAGGGATGTCTTGTTCGTTTCGGATATAACAAATAATGAGGATTATACAACAGATATTGATATATCTGATGGTGCGGTTTTTGTTAATCAGTACATTCCTGATTGGCATACTCAATGCATTGACAAGTTTGTTGCGCCTAACGTAAGTAGCATTGATGATAGTGACAGCTATTTGCAAATGGAGGTTTATCAGGGTGACTCAGACGACGCGGGCTTAAAATTCGGAATAACGGCACTTTGCGGCAAGATGACATGTGACTACACTGGAAGTAGGCGGAACCAATTAGATGAAATTCATTGATTTATCAGAAGACCGCTCCTATTGACCAGGAACTGAAATGTTAATGATGATGGTGATACTCAAAATCTCCACCCAATAGCTAGAAGTATAGGATAAGCAATTTGTAAATAAATATAGAATTTCTACAATTAGTAAGTAAGCAAATATTGAAAATCTTGAAAGAGAACGGTGTGTGTTCGCAATTTGTGTCTGATGAAGATGTTGTGATGTTTGTTTGGAGCCCCCTGTTCTTGATGGAACGAAGATCTGTGATGGTGTTTATCGAATTCAACAGTCGGGGCATCATAGAGCTCAAAAGAAAGTGGTGCATCTGGAACGGCTGGCACCTAACTGCAACGATGTGGTAATTCCTGTTCGGGACGAACAGATTTAAGAGGAGGGCAATGTTACGAATTTCATCAGAGTAGCAATGAAATGTTTAAATATTATTAAATGTTATTTAAACATTACGTCAATGGATTTTTTTGACAAAAAGTTTAGTTTGGAAATTTGTTTGGTGTGAAGCTGTATTTTTATTAAATTGACTCCTAATAAATACTAGTTCTTTGTATTACACAAAATATATAAGTATAGTTTCTTCAATCCTAATAATTCGTTTCATTTTTTACAAAATCCTGAGATACGAATAATCACGCAGGCGATTACGTAACATTTGGTGTCAGAAGTGGGATTTTGTAAAATGATGAAATTGGAAGAATTGACTGTGGTTCAACTAAAAGAGCAGTTGGAGAAAGTGGGACTTGGCACAGGTGGTGCGAAAGCGGAACTGCAGTTGAGACTTCGTGACGAGTTGGAGGCTGATGGCATACATGAAGAAGAACACGAGTTCCTCGATGAAGAATCTGACACGAATAGTGAAATGATGGCAATCATGAACTTAATGATGCAGAAGATTGAGAAAAATTCTGAAGAACAGGCGCACGGTTTACGTAAGTTGGAAGAAAAGCTGGAACAACAATTTAGTGAAATCACGCAGACATTAGGACAAAATTTTGTCGAATTAAAGATGGAGTTACAACAAGTCCAAAAAAGGTGCTCGAGAAGGAAGGACCCGATTGATCAGAATGTCCAGGTCTCAAAAGGTGAGACGGTTCAATTGGAAAACCACGCTGAGAGTAGGCAGGTAAGCGGGTCATCTTCAGCCATTCGTCAAACTGGTAGCGTTAAACTGCAGGCACCGACGTTTGATGGGAGCGAGGCTTTTGAAGTGTTCAAACTCAAATTTGAAATAGCGGCTGCAACAAATAATTGGAATATTGGTGAGAAAACGGAATCACTGATTGTGGCACTAAAAGGTAGTGCGGCAGAAGTTTTAAAACAAATTCCACCCGAACAACATAAAAGCTACCAAGCTGTAATGGATCCAGTGGAGCGCAAGTACGGTAACGTTTCTATGGCTCCATTACACAGGGTAATACTGGAAGCAAGAGCCCCGCTTGTTGACGAGAGTCCTGGAGAGTACTCTGCCGACATTGAACGGTTGTGTAACTTGGTTTACATTGGTAGCTCTGGTGATATTATGGTGAAGAGTAAAGTCGACACTTTAATAGACGGTATACGTGATCCGGAAACTAAGCGTCAGGTCGTAATGTTCTCAAAGGAGACATACTCTGAAACGGTTAGCGGCGCTTTGACGTACGAAGCTGCCGGTATAATGTGTTCCTTTACAGCAAAAGTACGGAAAATGAAAACTAGAGTGAAGGCAGGAAGAAAGACAAGAAGGAAGACAGAAGGAAAGACAGAGGGGAAGGCAAGAAGAAAGACAAGAAAGAAGACAAGAAAGAAGGTAAAAAGAAATAGAAGAAAGAGAAGAAAGGAAAGAAGAATAAGAGAGAAGACAAGAGAGAAGATAAGAGAAAGAAGAAGACTGATTCAAATAA